TAGAAAGTGAAAACGAGACTGTGCTTTGAGAGTTCACAAGATAATACCGACTGCACCTTAGAAGCCAACTAAGCAGACATAATTAAATACTATCTCATAGACATGGCCATCTGCTCGATAAAAATACCTTAACAAATAATACTGACTTCAAAATATAAGGACCAGGAAATAGAAACTACAAGAATAAAATATAACTCCGGGTGTAAAAAACAAAATTTTAGTAAGAGTGTATGTGTGTGAGTGGGGAAACAAGTGAGATGGAAATGTATGAAAGTTATAGAGAGAGGGTGTAAGAGAAGAAAGAAGAACAGGAAGGCCTAAAGGTGAAGGTTCGATTAAAATTTAACAGAGAGAAGTTTTAAAGAGAGGCGTTAAATAACGGTATAAATGAGTTATATTTTCCGATTCCTTTTTGAATTTGTAGGTCTGATGATTTGGATCGTGATTACGATTCCAACGTAATAAATTATAACCATGGAATATTAGTGTTTGAGCCTTATATATATATATATATATATATATATTAAAGATAAAATTGAATCACTGATAGCTTAATAAGCTAGGGAATTAAAGTCTACAAAAACGAAAACACTTTTGATACATACGTACATATGTCAATAAGTGTCACAGATAGTATTTAGATGTGTACATTAAACAAGCTTTGGAATAAAAATCTGAAAAAAAAAATGAACATACTTTTGATACACTCGTACATATATCAATAATATTAATGATAAAATTGAGTCGCAGATGGATTTCAGATGTCTACGTAGATTAAACTATGGAGAAAAAGGCTACAAAAAGTGATAATGCTTCTGAGAGACAAGAAATTATCATATGATTATGTCAGAATAATTATTCATTCGCAAAACACGAGTCTTAACAAAGATTGGACGACAGTAAGAAAACAACGTGTCCTAACTTTTTAAACTAAATAAACACACCCAATTTCTGTGGACGGATATTGCCTTTGCGCATGGCTAAACAAGGGAAACGAACTCAATTATTAGCGCACGACAAGATTTTCCTGCTTATAATGGAAATAAAAATAAATAAAAGAACATTGACGAACAAAGATGAACGGGATAAAACTCACAAATAAACACGGCTTTCAAGCAACAATATATATTTAAAAAAAAATGTAACGGTAACCCTTTTCGGATCAGTTTTTTTTTTCGTAGCACCGACACATACGTGTGCTCATGCATGCAAAACGTATAAATAATCAATGATTACGCTATCTGATAATGTAGGCTTATCAACACAGTTGCTTCGGGCGTCAGACTAACCGCTTCCACGCGGGTTAGAATCATTTTTCTCGTCTGAAGTGTTGGATAGTGTGGCTCTTGGAATCTCAGACCGGAGCCCCCAATGCTTGCAACCGCAGATTTCCTACATAATTTTTAATAGGGATCTCATAATTTTTAATCATTATACTTTTACACGGAAAGAATTAATTCGTTGTAGTCTGAAAATGAACCTTACAAAAAGTGATAGTTCCCGAAAAATGTTCCACCACTCACGTCTTTAAGACTTTATTAATTGAAGAGCTCCAAACAAAATGAATTCTAATGCAGCATTTTTTTAGGGCACCTCGGTGTGGTGTAATGGTTAACAAGCTTGTCTTGCTAGATTAGTTACTACTGAAAAGTGAGTTCGTTCCTCACTGGATGCCCATACTTTCGGCCTTGTGCCACATCTAAGCTACGCTTGGAAAATCTCTTATGCAGTATTTTTGTAAGCTGTTAATACGTAATTCGTCTTATAAATGCGTATAGTGGTATTCCAATATATATATATATATATATATATATATATATATATATATATATATATATATATATATATATATATATATATACACACACACTTGTGTATTTAGGCAGCAAGCCTTCCTTCAGGAACATTTCATTGAATATAACAGACAAGGTGCTTTGATTTAGCTTTTATACAAGTTCTTATGTGATCTAATAATTTTTTTTTATTTTCAGATGATAAATTATATACAAACTGTCCGAATGTTCTTTTTATCCGAGCGCTTTCGGCTATACATTTAGCCACTTTCAAGGTCGAAATAATTTAACTGTTAAATAAGAAATAGTTTGTTGCATGTATGTTTTATAAAATGTTTTCATTTTTCAAAACACGGTCAAAATATCGTGTCCATGTTCATAGTTGATATTATTGAGTGTTGTTTTTTTGTTTTATTAATAAGGTTTCCATTATTTTTTACCTTTTTTTTGCATGTAGATAATGCTATTATATTTGTTGTTAAATGAAAACATTATATAAATACATATCTGAATATACTCTGAAAAGAAAAAAAATTAGATCACATGAGAAATTGTATAAAAAGACTAAATCAAAGCACCTTGTCTGTCGTATTCAATGAAAATATATATATATATATATATATATATATATATATATATATATATATATATATATAAAACTTGTTATAAGAACGGTGCTCAATATTGGAGATATAGCGTTTTTAGAGATACGCAGTGTGTTGATTTATTGATTCATTTTTTACGGCTTATCTACCCTTTGCAGGTTATTTAAAGCCATAAATTTTTTTAGATTGTAAAATTTTTTTTTTTTTGGTGGGGAGGGCGAGTAATAATATTTTCTGTGATATAATTTTTATTAATTAAACCATAGCTACGCGAGAAGAGGTGAACACCGGTTCCCGTAGGATCACAGAGGTTAACCAACACCGAGCCTGGTCAGTATCGAGATGGATGACCGCTTGGGAATACCAGACGCTCAAAGTTTGAATATGCCGTTGGTTTAATGGATAATGGCTCGGAATTGTTAATCGGAGAGTCGAGTTCCAATTTCAGTTGGGTTCGTGTATTCAGTTACGCGCAATTACCCCCAGCTTTTGGTAAATTAGTAAGACTTGTATCACTAAAAAAATGCACTCTAAAAACCTTTTCCGACTTTAAATAACATGCAAAGGGTTGATACACCTTAGGAAATGAACGAATCAATATTTCTTATTATAAGAATAATCCTTTTTTAGACTGTATGTTTGCTGTAGCTTTTCTACAGGCGATAATGTGTATGCCCCCATTCACATAAATACAGAAGTAAATACTCTATGTTGGTCTGCAGTTGAAGATTCGTCTCCAGCTGTGCTGGACAAAAGCTTTGCCTCCGGGCAGAGAGGAACCCCAGACTAGACTATGTCGAAGAGCAGAGTCTCGTCTCGGGAAATAGCTACCCGGCCCCGTTCTATACGGGGTCTATGGGGAATTTTGACCAAGCCTACGTGCTCGGATACCCCACATTAAATTCGAACTTGTTCTACATCTGACCGCGTGGGGCGGTTGGTAGATTCGTCTCCAGATGTGCTGGTCTAACTGTCTGCCTCTAGGCAAAGATGATCCCCAGGCGAGGCTATGTCGAAGGCAGAGTCTCGTGTCGGGAAACAGCTACCCGACCTCGTTTTATATGGGGTCTACGGGGGAATTTTAGGCCTGCTGGGATACCCAATATTTAATTCAGTCTTGTGCCACATCTGACTGCCTGGGTAGGTTTGTGGATATCCTGCAGCTGGAGATTCATTGTAGAATTCACTTGAATCACTTCTAGCAGTTGAATACTTTTTCTACACGCCGCTGGCGAATCTTATATGTGCTGTTCTTGTCCTAAGTATTATTGTTCATTACCAACATTCGTATGATTATTCTATTCAGTAACCTTCCCTAGGTTGCAACACTATTGCATGAATATTCTTTTGCAGATTTTTCTCGATACAATCCTACAATTTAAACCAGAGCTAGGCGGAGAAAAGATATATTCATAACTTTCCCAAGGACATTTAAGCATACGTGAATATAACGGACTCTACTGGAATTTGTCTCCCAAAAGACCACATAAAAGGCTGGAAAGTGAGCTTTGGGAAGTCCTAGCCCAGATAATGCCGTAATAATCCATTTTTGGTATGATCTGCTTCTTGCAAAGATAAAAACTTAGCAGAAGTTGTTATTTGATACGATTTTGTTTTTGCAAGGTTGTTCTATGTTTGGGGAAAGTCAAATTTGCGAGAAGACATGTTCCATAGAAATAGAAATATGTCAACATGAATGTCAATAGGAAAATAGAGGAAGGCTACCCTGACATCAAACTAATATTTGTTTAAATTTGATTAGAAAACAGAAGATTATTTCCCCACTTAGACTTCATAGGAAACAATAATCAAATCGTAAAAGAGAAACAATAATGACCTCTGCAGTCCCACATTCCCGAGACTACGAAAAAAAAAACTTGGAAAAATAAGATTAAGTCGAAATTTATGAACTAAAAGTGTTCATCCATCAATTCAAGATTGGCTCCGGCTTTTCTAAATGAACGCGTATTCCAGATACCTCGGAGATGTGAATGTAATTAATTGCGCTGATTCTCAATGTAATCGAGACAACCGAATCAATTGATTAGATCAGTCCAGACATTCTTCAGGTTAGTTCGACTTTTGTGCATTGAGAAACGCATTGTCATTCAATCTGATTTGCAATCAGACGGCACATTCTCCCCTCACTTAACCAACAGAAAACACACTCATCAGTGTCATTCCCACACACAACAAAGAAGTAAAAAGACGGTAGTATGTAGAAGAAGAATCAAAACAAGAAGCAAATGGAGTAAAGATGGTCGTAGAGAAGTAAAAGAAGAAAAAAATGGTGATAGAGGGGAACTCGGTTAGTTGCGTTGCTCGTACTGATTGTAAGTATTAAAGAGTGTGTTAGTGATTTGTTTACGGCTTATCAAACTTTTGCAGGTTATTTAAAGACATAAACTATTTTTAGATTGTATGGATTTTTTGGAGATAATAATGAATGAGTGATGCATAAATGGGGGCAGAAGGGTTGGGTTTATAATTTTCCCAAGGGTATTTGTACGTAACTGAAAATAGCGAACCCAACTGGAATTGGAACATGGTTCTCCGATTTAGAATTCCGAACCATTATCTACTACGCTAACCTCATCCAACCTTACAGCACCTGGTATTCCCAAGCGGTCACCCATCTGGATACTAACCAGTTTTGGCGTTGCTTAACTTCGGTGATCTTACAGTACCCGGTGTTTCAACGTGTTATGGTCATAAGCCTCATCTTGCACAAACATCATTTCTTTCAATCAGATACTACTCTCCACTGTAATTGCACAGAACCAACGAAAAGGAGTTAGTCTTCTGCAGCGGCTGCTTGAAACCTTTTCACCTGAACATTTTACGCTAGCACAAAGCAGATTATCAGGCGTTTAATCCCATGTTACTGTATGTACATTTAAAATCGGTCATAAACTATTCAAATATACGAAAAACAGGTTCACGACTAAGGAACATCATCAGCTTTTACACAACGTCCATGCCTAAGCGCGTAACCGTCTGGTATATGAGATCTACCTTGAATGTAAGCAGCCATTTTGAACATTTCGACAACCAGTTAAACGGGTTTGATTTAAATTGAACAGCAGTCAAAGGTAATTTTACTGAACATGCGTGAACTTAAACTCTTTTGTAGATTTATTCAGCTGGCTATGAGAAATTATTGCGAAAAATTCTGTAATGTGTGACCATCATAATCACAATGACGTCTATCACTGAGGTAATATGTGATTCATCCTAGGGTTGGATCACATATTACATGATTCCTGGCATTCTGAATCAAAGTTAATTTCAATAAGGAACTTTTGTGCTAAGAGAACTTGATTTGCGGTGACCTCAATATGTACCTGGCTGACATTAGAAGTCGATTTAGACTTTGTAGTCATCAGAACATAAAACGATTCATTGACTAATACGTTTTCTACGGCTTATCAACCCTTTGTAGGTTATTTAAAGCCATAAAATAGTTTTAGATTGCAAGAATTTTCTTTTGAAGATAATGAGTTACTAATACAGGTCTTACTAATTAACCGATGTCTGGGGGGAGGATAAGAGGTAGACTCATACAATTCCCAAGGTTATTGGCGTGAAAGTGGATTAAACGGGAACTCTCTGTCTTCGGGCAGTGACGAACCCAGACGAGGCTATGCCGAAGGGCAGAGTCTCGTCTGGGGAGGTAGACAAATCCGGCCCTGTGTATGCGGGGTCTAAGAGGAATTTTTCCCTCAGCTCCACATAAAAATCGGCTTTGTGCCACAGCCTGCCTCGTGGGAAGGTCGGGTAAATACCGGATTTCCGAGCAACGTGCATCAGAGAGTTGAACTGTAATGTGTCATGAAAGTTACCAGGTGCAAATTCCAGTCTCATGAGATATTGTCTGCACTTGATATGTAAATAGGTGTTCGATCTTGCAGCGTTTAAGATGTGCACATATGGGGCAACCATGTGGTAAGAATACTCTTTCTACACGAGAGGGAAAAGACAGTCTTTCACATGTTTACATGAAAAGAATCCCCTCATTCAAAGAAAGTCCCAAATTACACATTCTTATGCCGATATTAATTGATGAAGTCCAGAAGTAAATAAACGATATTTTCACGTATGAGAGAAAAAGTACGATTTATGCAGGCAGATAGTTTCTTTTATTTGAAACATTGGAGAAGCACAGTTCTATCATCCGTTTTTCTACGCAACGGGGGTGGGAACTTTTTTTTAAAAATTTTTTTAATCATTTGAACTCAATCAAGACGATAAAACCACTAAAACGCAAGGGATTACTAGGAGTGAAAGAAAATAAGAAAACTTTAGGAGAAAGAACTGAAAATCCATTTTTAAACAGGAAACAATGGATCAACCTTTACTCCTGTTCAAAAGACAGGGAAGGAAGAAGATCGCCTATTGCTTGCTTCACACTTCTATCAGGTATTTGAACAGGAGTAGAGGTTGATCACTTGTTTCTTGTTTCAGAAACATTCTCTTAATAGCGGAATTGTGATCGATAAAACGGTTCCCGATAAACAACAAATACGACCTCGATGAAATCCACGAGAAAATTGTCGTATGAATAAGATTTGTATATTTTAATTATTAATTGTTTGTTCCTTTTTAACAGAAAGAAAGGTCGAAATCTGAGAAAGAAAAGGTTTCCGAGCGAAACAAGAATAATTTGACCTACGTTTGAATAAAGGAAATTAGATTTTTTTCCGATCATTCAGTTCACCTGCGTAAAGAAAATAAAGCCCAGACCAACAAATTAAAAATAAAATAAAATATATATCATTTATAAAAAAAAGTTTTTATCATAATCGAAAATAAATTAAAAAAAAATCCTGTCTATTCAGTTATAAATCATTAACAATATAAAACTTTTCAATAAATATTTTAGAAAATTCCAATAATTAAAACTAGAAAGACATATTTCAATGCGCCCACATCGCTACAGAACGTGACACGAGGTGAAGGTTTAAAGTGAGTTTACCGGAAATACCGTGGAAAAATGGCTCAAGCCTACTCTGCACTTATTCCTATTTGGGGACGCCTCACGTGCTTATACACAGAGTAATGACAACATCCCCCAAAGAGAGATACTGCCTTTCTAGTGCTTGAGCGAATATTAATTTTAACTTTCCCGGCGGACGTTAGGAAGGTAATTACTAATAGAAAGGGGGAGACATGCTGAAATTAACTATTAAAAAAAATTGGTATAATTTCTATAAAGCGGCCAGATTTTCGGTCAACGTTTAAAATATTTAAACAAAAAACAGAATAACCAGCAAATGGCAATATTTTCTCATGCAGTAGATTTAATATTCTAAGTGCGACACCTTTTCTTTTCAGTTAAATATTTACTTGGAATATTTAAATATTCACTTGGAGTATATTTTTTTATTTCTAGACATCAGTCGCCATTTACCGGCGTAACCCATGTTAACATACTATGTGTATCGTGTTTTTGTCTCAGTGAATCAACAGATGAAGTCGACTTTTAAACCGTTTTACATCGTTTTTATTGATAATTCTCTTTTAGCATTTTAAACTGATCAAAGATCCTTTTTCCATAAAGATTGTTCGAAATTGCTCGGTCAGCTGCTAGGAAAATTGGTTCACTGTGTCATGCAAGACAATGTATCTTGCCAGAATCAATGTTACATAATTATAAGTCTACCATTTGTCCATGCTTTGAATATTGCTGCAATATATGGTCTGGTGCTCCTGCTATATATTTAGAATTGATGAAACCCAAAGAAGAATCTGTTAATGGTCTTGATCCGGCATATCGGCTTCATTCACTTTCCACCGCAGCAATGTGGCTTCCCTGTGTCGTTTCTATGAATATTTTCGTATTAACTGTTCTGATGAACTTTTCTCTATGGTATGTAGACATTATAAATTTAAGCTCAGAACTAGATTGGAGTTAAGTTTTCATGATTTTACACTAGAAATGACTAGATGTAACCCTAAATTCTATGTTAACATTTTTCTCTCCCACTTCTCTCTTGTGGAAATTTCTTGTGGCTTGTTTCCAAGTCAACTTTGATCTTTAAAAAATTTAAGTGCAATCACAATCATTATCTTTTGTCTTCTTAATTTTTAGTTCTTTTATTCATCTCTGCCCTTAATAGTGTTTTTCTCATATTCTATAACAATCAGTAACCCCCTTGCGTCTTAGTGTTTTTATTGCCTTGCTTAGTGTGAAATAATTAAAGAAAAAAATGTCTGCTTAAGAGGAATTATACCTGTTGCTTTTCTTTTTGTTAGTTAATCTCAATATATCACCGTCCCTTCAGGCTATATCTGACTTTTGTACATTCATCAGGGTCATGGCATTTTAAAATATAAGTCGATATTTTTTAAAGAAAAAAAATGTAGATAGGTCATTTTAGTATAGTCTGGTTCAAGGATACAATAACTTACTCTCAAGCACATTAAGAATGCATAGCAAAATTAAAAATGATTATAAGTTATCTACTTTTTAATTGCACGATGGAGACATTGTCTTTCCAAAACTTCATGTCCTGCATAGCTCTTATTAATGTTATTTTTTATTATCCTTCCAAGTTCATTTTCTGCCATCCAATTACACAAGTAAAGTCGTTTACTCGCTACTTCCCTGTATTTCTCTTTATATGTTCTGTGAGTATCAAATTTTTAAAGCCTTATTTTTTCATTATGTGTCCAATTAATTTTTGCTGTATTTTTCTGAATCATTGTATAAATTTCCTTTTTGTTTCCATCTTCCTTAAAAGTTCCTCGTTGATTAATGTTATGTCAAAGGTATTCACGGCATCATTCTCTAAAACATATTTCTGTTACTCCAGTTCTCCTTTTTACCTGTGAGGAAATTGTCCAGCATTTACTGCAATGTAGGAAATTTGATATTACATAGCGGCTCAACAATATTTTCTTTGGGCCTAAAGAAGTTTTCCTGTTTCTTAATACGTTGTTTAGTTTTTGCTAATCTCATGCGGCTTCAGCTTACGATGTCAGATTTTTCGTCGTCTTTTATAAAACCTCCCAGATATTTAAACTACTCTATGAGTTCGATTTCCAATCCAAAGCTTAGCATATTGTATTTTTTCTCTTGCTTACATTCTGTCTCTGTACAACTGATAGTTTCTAGCAGAAGATATTGACAGAAATCGAATATCGACTGTTTCCAAGACTACCCATGAAAAACCATACAACCAGAAGTGAAAAGAAAACATCGTAAACGCAAGATTCATAACAAATAAGCTAAACTTCTAGTTTTCTTTTCACGCCTTCTGCAGTTGCTCTGACACGACATGCGAAAACTGCATTAGTTTCATCAGCTGGAACGCTTTTTTCGACCATCGTTCGCGAAATTCCCACCGACATCAAGTAATAAGAAATAATTCCAGTATACAAAACATCAGTTAGACACGGTGGAGTAATAGATAGCGGCTCAGATTGAGGAATGTGAGAGCTGACTTCGAATTCTAGTCGAATCCATTACATTTCACTGCTAAAAACCTTGGGAAAACTATGAATCCTGTTCTCCCCAGCCGTGGATAGCAACTTGTCTACTGGAGAAAGAAATGGCAACCTACTGTGGGAAAAAAAAATTGCCTCGTCAGTCATATATCGAAAGATACATGATCGCCTAAGCGTGTATCATGCATGGCACATAACTGACTGACGTGCTAATACCCTTGATAAAAGTATGAATCTTCATCTTCTCTCCCATCTGTGGGTAAATA